AATTAAGTGTATCGTAAAGTTATATTCGAAAAGAATAAACCAGTTTTATTAAGTAAGGACTTGTTTCGCTAAAGTTTCGTCGGAACGAAGTTACGGAAAGTTAATTAACAAACGGAGACGTAACAAGTAGTTAATTGTAGAAATTACTTTAAAACAGATTATAACAACGTCCCTTGCTAACATTCTGATGATTGAGTATGATCGAGATGATTCCACTTAGGACATTTAATGCTGAATATTTTTTTTTTTTTGCTGAATTATCTATAGATTTTATCAGTATCAAACATGAAATACTTTAGAGGTTTATCACTTATTTTATATTGGTGAAGTGGGGAAATCAAGTTTAATTTGCTGAGATATAGATATCTAAATTTAAAACAGAGTTGTTCGTCTGTCTGGTGTCGCAGACAGACGAACAAATCTGTTTCAAATGGTGGTCACAAGTTGTAAGGAACTGGCTGAACCAATTGCGGTGACATTTGGTAGACTAACTTAGGTAGACCCCCTCAAATCTAGATTAAATGAGTAAACGAACTGTTCGAGTTTGGCAGCCATTTGAACATTACCATTTTAATGCAGCAAATGAGGTCTCAATTAAGCAAGTATGTCGGTACCAAAATACGTCAAGATGACACGAAAATGACCTTTAATGATACCCTTTGCATCAGACGAACGTTTCGTGTGTTTCGGCTCAAAATAGTGAAAGGGGACAGCCCAACTCTTTTTTTTTATGACATTACTTATTAAGCTCAGTATTGCCGGGCGCCTTTGTTTATCTGTTTTATAATATTTGTTATTGCACATTTACTACTATAAAATAGATGTCTAAACGACAGAAACTTGCTTGTTCCAGCATAAAAGATGGTGTATTCAATGCCATCTATCTCAAGTTTTTGAGCCACCAATCGTCTGAAAAGCACATCCTTAGTGTAGAATACTGGTTTTCTGTTGTCATGGGTAACGGCTGAATCTGTTAAGGGGTGACTTCTTATGAAGTTCAAAACGGCGTCGGGCAGGGTTTGTGTGTCGTTCACACACGATCCGGGCCGCGGCTCGGGAACTCTACTTGTTAAAACGGGTAACCAAGCTGACGATGATGTAATCTGTTCTTTAAACTTCCCGTTCAGAGCTTCTTCAATCGAACTCAAGCTGAAAGTGCAGATGGCCGACCCAATCAATCCATTCCTAGACGAACGACAACAGAAACTAGTTAATCCAAGTATTCACAGTTAAAAACTAAAATACTAACAACGCGTACAGAAATAAAATAACCTGACAATGCACTCAGCAAATATGAGAGCTGTTATTAAACAAAAACACATTTTTCGTGTAAATAATTATGTTGTAAATAGAGTCTAGTTAAATCCTATTATGTACAAAACATCTTTTTACAGTATTAGGTAAAGAAATATACTTGTTTATTGAACTAACGTCCAGAGAAGGGCCCGACATGGCCAGGTGGTTAGGGAGCTCGATTCGCAATCTGATGGTCGCGTGTTCGAATCCTAGTCACACCAAACATGCTCGCCCTTTCAGCCGTGGGGGCGTTATAAAGTGACGGTCAATCCCACTATTCATTGGTAAAAGAGTAGCCCAAGAGTTGGCGGTGGGTGGTGATGACTAGCTGCCTTCCCTTTAGTCTTACACTGCTAAATTAGGGACGGCTAGCGCAGATAGCCCTCGTGTAGCTTTGCGCGAAATCCACAAGAAATAACAGTCCACAGAAATTTGCTAGGATGCACTAAGTGATTATTTATAGACGGTTTTGTTTGTTCTTTGGATAACTTCTACACACGTATCGAAAGATAAAGTTTAACATTTATTAAACAATTCATCTTATTTGTAGAAATGTTTACAAATCAAAATATATAATGACTTTCATTGTCAGTATCTGTTGAGACCACTTTCAAAGCTCCTTCGCAATCAAAAGAATTCTGCAATAGTAATGTCTTGAGCATGGATAAAAAACAGCGACTCCTCAGTGGTGTGTATAATCATATTCATAAATTTCTCTTTAAAGTAAGAACACAAACAGAGAGAGACTTACATGGATGTTGAAAATACAGCAAAAAATTTACTGTTGTCGTTTGGTAGTTTGTAGATGCTTTCTGAAAGAAACAATGAGAAGTGAGCCCATGAAACTACACTTCCACGGACTAACGTACAACACAACCATAAACTTTACGATTTTTAGATATTTTAAAATTATAATAATTACTTTGCGCAAGTGGTAGAACCGCAGCGGTGGCGGGGCCGATTTAATTGAATTACAGGTTTTATGTGCCAGATTCTCTTTCAGATTAATCACAGTTACTGTGAATCAGTTAATATTAACTTCTGATCAGAGAAAGTTATGTACATAGAACGAAACTAGAACCAAACTGACAAACTTTGTAGCTAATTAAATATATTTGTCTTACGTTCCAACTTATTAAGATTAGAATGCATTAGTTCATCAGTTGAGTAACTTCGCTTTTAACGATATTTTTGGCTATAATCCCAATGATACTCAAGAGGTTCGGTCAGCTTAAGAGATTTAGATTAGTCCTAAATACATATATTAAGCTAACAATGCAAGACAATCACTATAATACAAGAATAATAATAAACATATACGATTAAAACGTAATAATATTTGATATATTTAAACAATCTAACCAGTAATTTTAATTAAATCAACAATAAATAAGTAATATAGTATACCAATGGTGGAACCACAGCGGTAACAATTCTAAAAGCCAACGACAATACTCAGTGATTATAGACTCTGTTTCAGATCACTCACAGTTACTCTGGGTCACTGGCGGTCCTGCAATGATGATGATACTTACGGTTTCAGTTTTCTTACTGTTATTATAGAAAGTAAATACAAACATGGTACTAAATGGGGCATATCTTCACTAAATAATGCGTCTCAGCGGTTCATTCTTATGGATGTATTTCCAGGTTCAGCGCTATATCAAAAACTACAAGTGGAATTTTCAAAATACAGGAATATATGTTCCTTGACACCATGATTAATGGCCGTTATCCCCTCATATTTCAACAGCAATAATACTCGTTTCGTGATAAGCTTACCAGCTGCACTAAAACCGAATAAAAACCAATTTAAAATATGCATTGAGACGAGTGACGTTCTTATAAAGCACATAACATCAGTCCTCCACCCCCACATTTGAAAACAATGTTGCGACCCTGATTTGATTTCAAAGAAAACGATTGAAAAATCGCGTATTCTACTTTAACTAGAATGTAGTAGTAAATTCACTTACTTCTGAAACTTTAAACCAAACTCAGTAATTTTACGACTTTTTTTAGTGTAACAAAACTAAAATTAACACACCCAACTCATATTAAAAGAGATAAATTTAAACTTTGGCTCATTTTAATCCCTAACTGGACATTATTTTTGCATGAGTAATCCAAATTTAATCCTAATTCAACTGAGTAAAGCAAGAATGAACGTAAACTTAAACTTTATGATATTAGTAGAACGTAAACTGAATAGATATAATTCATGTAACTTAAACCAAACTCCGCTTATTTAACATACATATATATATATATATATATACAAAACTAACACGGCAAGGTGGTGGCGTTCGGATATTGGTTGCTGTCATTGTTAGTAAACTTTACGATAGTCTAAATCTAATTACTATTTTATTATTTTTACTACTAGGTACAAATTAGTTTATATGTTACGTTTTTGGTACTAATTTTCCTCAGAAGGAGCCAACATTTGATCCTGGGAACCTTTTGTTAGAATGTCTATCACTTGTCTGCAACGGATGTATAATATACTAACTATCTTAATGGTTTTGATAATGTTTTAACCGTTAATGGTAATGTATCTTCAATATATTTAGTTAAGATAATGAATTATTAACTCAGAAACTTAAATAAAACCATGTTCTAAGACAAGATCGAATGTCACCTAATAAATAAACACAATACAATATCTATCTGGAGTAATAATACAACAGATAACATAGACTCTATTAAGAATTCACAGCTATTCAAACTTCATAAGAACAAACACACTCACGTAAAAAGAAAATTCGCATAAAAAAACTAACTTCTTTCATTAATTCTCAAAACAAGAAACCTCCTTCCACTACAGACACACAACTAAATCCACAGCACTAAACGGAAACAGATGATTATTAACGCAGCCAGAAAAGGAGTACAAAGTAAAGGACTAAACTTAACACATAACAAAATACACAGATATAGCTACAACCATAAAAGACACAATTTACAGCCTATCAGAAGAAGAAAAAGAATAATTCACAATCAAAACAAAGTTTAGAAAGCCGTGAAGCGTTAACCTATTACAATGCCACCCTATCAGAAAAATAGCACTCAGGAACTTAGAGGAAGATAACATCCTAACAATTCTACCAGTACCTCTGTAATCATGGACGGAGGAGAATACGCCATCAAGCTCCAAGCTGTAGTTGAAAATGGACACAACAATCTGTCATAACACAGATAAAAATCAACTAATTCTGTAAGAAACATAAAAAAAGAAACAGTAAAGCAACTAACAATATACAATAGTATCACCTCACACATCTATGGTGTACCTAAAATTTACAAACAATGTAACCCGATCTATCCCATAGTTAACTGTAGAGATTCTTGATGTCACCCATTAGATAGATATTTTATAACTTACAAAACATATTCACATTAATTCTGTTGCCGACGACGCGTTTTGCTCAATGCAGAACTCATCAGGCTGGCTGGGATACAACACACACAGCAGTAGTCGGAATACTATTTATACAAGACATGAGCCATAACGATCAGTTTCAATATATCCAACTAATTCACGAACGTACCAATCCTTGAAACCCTACAGATGCTCTGTCAACAGAAATCTGAATAAAGGCATCCAACTGACAATCTCCTTGATAATAGAACTCGCTTCTAACATGAAGATATATACTTCCAACAACAAAAGTACTTAGTCATGAACTCCCACCGATACTCAGTATAAATCTCCATATGAAACATTTCGAAGATAATGCCCTCAAAGCAGCCGCTCTTAAGACCCAGGATTTGGCTCAGATAATATATTTACGATATGGCCACACACATTACACTCATAATTTGTCATACAGTACCGATAAGTTTCCATAATTCACAAACCCATTGAATAGACTAGGTCCAGTTCACAGTGGAAATAGAAGAAAACAAAACTCCCATTCTTTGGCGTGTTGGTTACCAAGACGTAACTATGTACCGCACATCTGGCTGCAGACAGCAAAAGGTGGTAAAGATGTGGGACGTTGTGGGCTAGAGCACCTACATATACTCAGTTTCTTTACTTAATCATGTGAGGTCAGCGATGTTGAGGTGAAACTGGATAGACGGTGTACTCCCAACGCGATTTGGGTCTTACTTCCGCCAGTACCTCTAAAAACCAGGGCATATTACATAATGACCCACCTTATGATATGTGCCCGGTGTTGGATGAACACTGGGTAAGGCGACTTTAAGACTGAAAATACCAAATAAACTTACTTAAATAAATATTAAATCTTTACTCACGTATTTCATTGAAATAGAATGGAAATTCCCCTGGTATTGAACAGTTGAGCCGTGCTTTCACAAACGATGCCCAGTTCTTATTAAGAATATTTTTTCCACCTGTATCTTTCTGTAAGAAAGTAAAATATCGTAATGGTTTAACTTACAACAATGTTGACGATACATAATACAAAAATTAAATTCATTATTCCTGGAATTGTTAGGCAGTCGAAGATTAAGGATGCTTAAAAATAGTTGTTAAACATTAATAATGTTTAGGCAGAACGTAACCTAACAATGTTTGGTGTTAGAATAGTAGTAGTTGAAAAGTGTTACTTTAATATTGTTTAGGCAGACGTCACACGACCATATTTGGTGTTATTCATAAGATGTCTTTCTCTCTGTTAAAATAACTACTGGTTTATATAACAAGCATATTTCTCATGTCGATCGCATATTTCGGTACCTCAAAAGTAAAGCCAATGTCATTATTAATGAGAATGTAATATTTAAGTACTAATTTTTCTATGCATACATATACACACACCCGCCAAGATTATAGCGTGACTTAAATAAGATGCTTAGAAAGACATTAGTCAGATTCTTTTGAAAAATAAACACAGGGCATTTGTTAAAAATGCATAAAGCTTAGTGTATATGATATAAGTTTTCCGCCCAATATTTGTAGAAAGTCACAGTTGAACAACGTACTGTTACGACAGCGGAAGTCACGCGACGCTGGGAGCATGCACACTGGAGTTTCTATAAAGATCGTGACTTATCGGGCAACCTCACGAACGTCCCAGCGTTTGCTAGGCGCCCTCTTTTTTTAGTATATAAGCCGGAGATAGATTGAAGAGAAATAATTGATAATTGAGTCAAGCAAACAGTAGGCACCGTAACTAAAGTGTGTGAATCGCTGTGAATTATAGCGTGTGTTTATAAAAATATATAAGTTAAAGTGACTGTGGAAATTCTGTGTATTACAAAGTTGTATCGAGAAAGAATAAAATAGTTTTAATTAAGAAAGGACTTGTTTCGCTGAAGTTTCTCGGAAAGAATTTCTATGGGAAATTAACAAACGACCAGATACGTAACAGTACCAATAACATCAATGTTTGATGTACATTTAATATTAGATTCAGCATGAACCTAATAATGATGTTTTTGGAATAATTTGGAATTACAAGGCCAGATGAGGCTATACAAAGACGTTCATGATATATGAAGAGACGTAAAAAAATTCAAACGTTTTCGTACTTTTTTGCATATGTTCTTTGCATGTCTCTGTTTTCCGGGAGAGATGCACGAATGATGCAACTGTGTTACTTTTAGTGTGTGAAGATTCTGACAAGTGTATAACGTTGTAATCAGTAAGCCTTAAAGTATATGATACCGTTGGTACACCGAATACTGGAAGAAATTACTTATATCATATTTTGTTCTTTTATGTTTTGAAAACTCTTGACGTTCCTGACCATTAGTGAATCAATCAAGCTCGCAAAGAAAACGTGTCACGTCATTTCCTGTGTAAATCATCGAAAATGGTTTACAGAAACTATCTGATGTTGGCATAGTAAATCAATAAATTATTTTTGTATATCCCTATTCATTCGTTTTGGGAGTTGTATTATTAGAACAGTGTCACTCCCTAGAGACAATGCGGTAAGCCTGAGGGTTTATGATGTTAAAATTCGGGGATCAATACCTGTGGTGGATACAGCGCAGTTAGATTGGTGCTTAAAACAAACAACCAGGAACGGCGTCATTTCAGCAACCTCAAGACCTTTACTTTGTTCAGGCCTTTATTATGTACTAATTTTTAAAAGCATGCTATAGACCTCACATGAGATTTATTCAGGAAAAGTTTAGGGTCACAATAAGATTCACAATTCGACGGAACGATTTACAACTTGTAACGGTCTAAAATGAACGCCATGCTAATGAGGTTAACAATCAACAGTGTTACTAAAGCAATGTCTAGGACAGGTGATAAAAAAGTATTTCCGTAGCACACACTGCTTAGTCTAGCATCTCACTATTACTAATGGTATAATATCATAATTATTACTGTAGCAACACGACTGCAACTTTGAAAATCTTCAACATTTTTTGTGCTTATTGTTAGAAAATATTTATAGTGACAAGCGATGTTGTGGGTAGCAACCAAGTGGTAATTGTGATATACATATATAGTGACAAGCGATGTTGCGGGTAGCAACCAAGTGGTAATTGTGATATACATATATAGAGTGACAGGAGATGTTGCGGGTAGCAACCGAGCGGTAATTGTGATATACATATATACATATATATATATATATATATATACATATATAGTGACAGGAGATGTTGTGGGTAGCAACCAAGTGGTAATATTACATACTTACATTCAATGTTACTACAGCAACCTAATAACAATTTTCAAGTTCTGAACTTTATATTAATTGAATACTGTAACTGGTATGAGTATAGTAACCCAATTGTCATTGTTAAGAAATGTCACCCTTATGCTAAAAGTCTAAAATATCCGCAAAACGCAGCTTCGGGATTGTTAAGCGGAGAATAAATTGAATACATACAGCAAAGGAAAAGAAGTGAACAAAGAAAAAAATTATTGACAATAATGTCTATATAAATTACCAAATCGATGGCCATTTCTAATCTGTGTGACTGTTGTTTATAATGTTAAAAATAGGGGTTCAATTCCTGTGATAGGTACAATGCTGATAATTTAACACTTAAAACAAACAGTGTCACTTCCGCAATCGATCATCCAATTCTAGTGCTGTAAAGCCCATCTTCTTACTAATCTTCTCAAATGTTTTCTTATGGTTGGTATATATATAACATATTTAGCTTCTTTCAAGCCTCAGATGCTAATCTATTTGTTTCAGTGATTGTTTCTATTTCAATATATTCAGCTATTCTTTGTAAATATATGTCAATCTGGTTAAGAAGGAATTGAATTTGTCTCTAATAATTACTTTGGTTTAACATTTGTACTCATTGGAGCTGTATCTTTCTTTGGATCTATCAACACTCACAGCGTCTACATTTTTCAGAACTGCTTTCATCATTCTTACCAAAGATATCTTATTGGGACTGTTTTCATTTTGGTTATCATATTCAATGAATGTTATTTTCTTCTTCTTACGTTTCTTGCATAGCATTTCCATTCCACTTGTTATTGTTTTTTACAATTAAAGTTTCCAGTAAAGTATTCTGTAAAAACTCCACAGTTTGGCGTGATGAGAAAGGTTTGGAAGAACATCAAATGACTTAACATAGAAATATGTGTCACTTTTATCTTCTTAGCATTAATGAGCATGAGTGACTCAAAAGTGATTCAGAGCAAGATATTAGTGACTGACAAGTGATCCAGGACACGTAGTAGTGGATCATAAGTGATTCAGAGGAAGACATTAGTGACTTACGAGTGATCCAGGGCACATAATAGTGGATCATAAGTACTCAGAGCAAGACATTAGTGATGACTTACGAGTGATACAGGACACATAATAGTGGATAATAAGTGACTCAGAGCAAGATATTAGTGACTTACGAGTGATCCAGGACACATAATAGTGGATCATAAGTACTCAGAGCAAGATATTAGTGACTTACGAGTGATCCAGGACACATAATAGTGGATCATAAGTACTCAGAGCAAGACATTAGTGACTTACGAGTGATACAGGACACATAATAGTGGATCATAAGTACTCAGAGCAAGACATTAGTGACTTACGAGTGATACAGGACACATAATAGTGGATAATAAGTGACTCAGAGCAAGATATTAGTGACTTACGAGTGGTACAGGACACATAATAGTGGATCATAAGTACTCAGAGCCGATGATTCATGACTATTATTAACTGTTCCTAAGATACTTTAAAACATAATTTACTGAAGAGTGTGATCTAAAATTATCGTATTCATAAGCAAGATTACTTACTTCAGTTTCAGTGACATCACAATAAGACCTATATGTTTAGGCTATAATATAAGTGCATAAAAAGAGGCTTAACATACAACAAACTTATATCGGCTTTAAGAAAAAATCGAGTAGATTATTCAACAAGATGAACATTCTATCAATAACTCCAATGTGATCCTATTCACAAATAAATATGCGTCAGGACAACCAAACGAATATAAATAAAAGAAGGTGAATATGATGATTTGGAAGGTATTGAAGTTTCTGCGAAGAAGAAAAAATACAGAACCAACTACTTGATCGAAAATAGGTTGCATGAAAAAAAAACCCGTAAGCTTTGGGCCAAGACTCCATGGTGTGAAACGAAATATCCTTAATATCTTCACTCTGTGGTTAAATTTTCACCCCATTGTATTTTTATGATCACTGTCTACCCAATGTACTGCCATTTTTGAAGTGACAGTAAAACAAAACCTGGGTGTCCATACTGAAGAACGATGCTTTGACGAAGTGGTGAAATCTTCTCTGAATCGCTACAAAGTATTAAGACGAAACGAGATGGAGAGCATCCCTCCATGAATAATCTGGTTACATCAAGGCCAGGACAGCTAGCTCAGTGGAGATAATTTAAGATGGCTGCACAATGTCTGAAGCCACCAGTAGACTCGTGCAAGACGTCGTCGTCCATAGAAAATCAGGCAGGATGGCTGAAATGTGTCTGAAATCACCATCAGGAATCATCCAAGATGGTTCCACCCACTGTATGATGGTTATTTGTCCAAGATGACTGAGACATACTTTAAACCACCAGAAAGCCAATCTACTGTGTCTGTATTCAAGATAGCTACATATATTTGAAAGCACCACCAAGTAAGTTGGAAATTCTCATTGACAAAAAGATCCTCTTGGACACGACATCAAGTGACATCATAAGTGTTGAAGTCAAACGAACCTGGACTAGTCCTAACACTATTAATGCTATATGCAACTGAGAAGTAATTTTAAATAAGGTGTTTCATTACAAATACAACTTATATTACAGTTAAAAATACACATTATTTAATCATTTTGTATCAGGATCTTTTTTTTTTACCAATAATATAAAACAGACATGCTTAGCAACTATGCCAAATCCTGATAGCGATAAAATTACATATTCCTTTAACACTGTTCACTATTTCACTGAACACTGCAGTTTCTCAAACAGTCAAAATTGAAAAATATATTATCTTACTACTTAAAATCCATATACAAAACATAAAGAATATAGACTAGGCTTATCATGAAACTCGTGCTGTTAAAAAAAGAAAGCCCATACTGATAAAGTTCTTACTTTACATATCCTTGCAACTCTAGAATACACTGTCTTCCCGCAGTTGATGTGTTCTATTGCATTTTCTCTGAAGAAAAAATATACATGTTCCCCTATGTCATAGGATCCAACGAAGTCGGGTTCTAATTAAAATATATATAACAAGTAAAGCATCAATAAACAAATAGGTGATACTGAGCAAGAAAGTTTCAACAGTTAAAGTTCAGTATTTACAACGAGAAACGATAGATATGTTGTGATACTCCTTTACTAAATACTGTACATAACACTTTAAATTGTAAGTGTTCACACTTACTATACCTGATACAAACACTGAACTTTAAATGCTGAAACATTATTATCATATTATATAAATACTGAACTATAACACTGGTAATTTTAACATTCACACTGTAAATCACTTGTGTCAGATTATTACGTGGTAGTGATTTTTAAATGAAGTATGTTATCTAAGGCCTCTTGGGAAATATTGAAGACAGAAGAGTAATTATTGTTTAGAGAACACTTACTATCTAACCACTTCGAGTCGTACTTGATCGTCCTCTGAAAGGGATAAACCTTCTCTCTGGTGTAGAAGTCGTACAGGTCAGCCCGGAAAATTACAGCGTCTGCTTTACTGAACTCCGCCACAGTTCCACTATACAGACCAGCTAGTTGTCCTGGATTACCGTTTTCTACAAGGTCAGGAAACATAAAAGCCTAATAACGTGACTGACTGATGCTTACGTAGACAAATAATGTTTACAACTTGTTGTTTTTTGTTGATTTTGTTTGTTTTAGAATTTCAAGGAAGAAAACGGCTGTCTGCACATAACCAACCCTAATTTTAAGCTGATAGACAACAGGGAAGAGCGTTGCAACATCACCAACTGCTATTTCTTAGGCTTCCTTTGTCTGACTGAATGATGGTATAAGACTGTCAATCTTACAGCACATCCAAGACCCCAAAGTGTAGAGCGCATTTTTTGCGAACGTGAATCCTTTCGTCCATCGTCCGAACCATAAAGTTGAAGCTTTCTCAATAGTTTGTCTTAACATATTGTGTTCTAGCGCATCATAACAAGTCCAATTACAGCTGCATGTAAATTTAAACTTTTCACTTGACTGTAACATTCTCAAAACGTGATTTAGTTACAATTGTAACACTGTAACCTAAACTTTTCACTTGACTGTAACATTCTCAAAACGTGATTTAGTTACAATTGTAACACTATAACCTAAACTTTTCACTTGACTGTAACATTCTCAAAACGTTATTTAGTTACAATTGTAACACTATAACCTAAACATTTCACTTGACTGTAACATTCTCATAACGTTATTTAGTTACAATTGTAACACTGTAACCTAAACTTTTCACTCTATTAAATTGTTCTCTAGAGCTGAGCAAGAATGCCTATTTTTATACTGCTGTTAAATGTAGAAGTAAACGGGTGAAATCCATATCTTTGTATAAACAAATAAAATCACAGCACATAGTCACTAAGAGAACAAGCAGTATTCAGAAATTTAGTGTTTTCTTCATTTGAAAATAAATGACACTATAACATGTGGGAAGGAAATGAAGCGTTAGCAATTCAAAGTAACTTATTTTCAGAATATCTATCACATATTATTTCAAAGTGATTTCTAGCATAACTTACCGACCCATACTGCTGTAGCGTTATCATCAGGATCAAAAGGGCATTTGGCTACACCGTTTCCTATACCTGGTATTGTATTCCAGGAATTCACATAGGAGAGGTTGGCCTGATAAGGAAATAAGGTAAATAACAATGGATGACTATACAGATCGTTAAAAGTAATTAATATCAATTAGAAAAAATGTTTTTATATATGTATATATACAGTTGAAAAATATGCAAACATGCAGTGTGACACAGAGATTGACTGAACTTTGACCGTCACTCTTATAATGCATCAACGGCCCAAAAAATGTGGATTGCGAGTTTTGTTTGTTTTTTTCCGGCACGCTAACCACTTAACTGTACTTGGCCCAGGTAAGAATTGCTGGTTTTGTCGTGGCTCTGTCTATACTGTCGAAATATTTATCTTTGAAATTCAACATTCATCCCTAATTAAATGGAACCTGTTAGCAATTTGACCACTGAGCCATACTCATCAGCTTCGTCAGTGTTATGTTATAACCATCGGAACCAACACAATGTAATAACGTGGTGACCACTGAGCCATACTCATCAGCTTCGTCAGTGTTATAACCATCGGAACCAACACAATGTAATAACGTGGTGACCACTGAGCCATACTCATCAGCTTCGTCAGTGTTATGTCATAACCATCGGAACCAACAAAATGTAATAACGTGGATCTCTTACGCCTGAAGTCTCCTAAATTTGAAGCTATCAAGTAATTTTGAAACAATTGAATATATCCCTTATACTTCGTCCTTGTTCTTCAGGGGGTTAGGGTCATTTCCTAAGTCTCACTCTGGAAATAGCGTCAATGCTGTTGATACTTCTGCCATGTTGGTATTTTCTGATGGATTGGAAAATATAAGGGATTTTACAGTTCTTCGTCATTATCCACCAGAAGATGCCTTATAATCTCATCCTCGTCGCCATTTGTAGTATTTCGGTTGTCTGTTTTTGTGACTCAAACGTTCTATTGTTTTACATTAAAACATTTATTTTTGATCACACTTATAGTGGTGGCGCGTTCCTCACTCCTTATGTTGAGAATTATTATTATTATTTTTAGTTTTTGGAATTCAGAGTGGAATGTATTATTATGATTATTCTGATCTTTTCCATAAGTAAAGATGTCACCACTGATATTTTGAATACGTGACATACGTTCGAAGTGTCTAATTAATCGTTTCTTGAAATACGTCTGCTGCGGATGAGATAACATAACATAACCAGTATGTGTTGATAAAGCTGTTATATAAAGAGGATATTCATTTAGATTGAAATGATGCTATCTATACCTTGTTCGTATTTAACTTTATGAAAACATGTACATCATATTTACACAAAGTCTAGCCTGATTGGGCTCATCAAGTTCGAATACCGGAACGATTCGAGAAATCCATGAAGTAAAACGAGATACCTCTTCTATATTATCTTTCAACTATTTACTAATTTATTCCTCCATTTTATGTCTCACATGAAAAGGAATTCGTCGGTGTGGCTGCACCACTGTTTTACGGTTTCATTAGTGTGTATAATCTAACTTTGACAATCTTGAACTTACCCATTGTCTGTAAAAATGTAGTTACGTTTTTGTAACCTTACATCCTTTAATTTACTAATACGTTTGGTTAACTCACACCAATCAAAAAGTGGTTATGTTTGTGTAAATTTTAAATCTTTTAATTTACCTATACCTTAAAAAAAGATGGTTATATTTTTATAACTTTGACACCATTTAACTTGCCCACACCATTAAAAAGATGGTTATATTTTATAACTTTGACACCATTTAACTTGCCCACACCATTAAAAAGATGGTTATATTTTATAACTTTGACACCATTTAACTTGCCCACACCATTAAAAACATGGTTATATTTTTATAACTTTGACACTATTTAACTTGCCCACACCATTAAAAAGTAGGTCATGTTTTTATCACTCTAACTCCTTTTAATTTTCTCATACATTTAAAAAGTGGTTATGTTTTGTAAACTTGACACCCTTTAACTTACCCATATTTTTAAGAATGTGACTTTCACACTCCCTAACTTACACATCCCTTTAAAAAAGTGGTTATGTTTGTGTATTATATCCTTTATTGAGAACTGTGATACATTTACTTCGTTGCAATTTTCATGACACGTATTAACCAAGCAAACATCCGTTTTTTTTTTCCAGTAGTAGTACAGAATCTATCTTCATGTTTAAACTAACCTTATCGTCAACCATTCGCTCAGTTACTAAGTTTTTATTATAGCTCCGTATGTATAACTCTTAGACTTAAACATTCTCAGTAGAGGGTCTATTTGAGTAGCCATGTTGTAAAATTAAAACATAAAACAGGCATTACAGATAGTAAAGAAAAGAAGAGTAATAAACATAACATTATCATTATAAAACATAACACGAACACAACAAAGATGATCAACGGATAGTTCTGGCGAACTAAAGAAAATAAACAGCTGTAGATAACACATGGTTTGAAAATAAGAACTATGATCAATAAATAAACAACATGGACCATAAAGACAATAACTTATTAAAACAGCCTCAACTTTTTGCACAAGCTCAGCCAACAAATCGAACTAAACTCATATAAATAACGAAAAAATAATATGTGATCCAATTCTTCCTCAGCAGTTCTTGTTTTTTAGTTTATTATTACCAAAATCTGCGCAGTGTTATTTTTGAATCTATTGATTTTGGACTTTCCATTTATTTGAACAACTTATGATTTATGACCTATGTATCTCTTCCGGTTAGTTCCTTATTCACTCGAACATCAAAATATATCGGAGAAGAAAGGAAATAAACAAAAAAACAACAAGATCTTCAGTAATGTAAACACAAGAAAGATAATAACTGAAGGGGAAAAAATGATAAGTCTAGTGGATTCGTCTTGACACTGATGATGACTGTTCTCTTGGCTAAACTTCAGTAGTAGCTTCAGTTTCCTTAAACGTTTTAAGACCATTCCTGAATGACAGACAAACAAACATACTGCGCATGATCGCATAATACTTCTCTTTTGAAAATACTTACGTGAATAACCCAATCCATGAGGCTGTAAGCAGTTGTTCCACAGACACACAATCTGGCGCTATTTTCTATTGCTGAATGAAAATACTTACGTGAATAACCCAATCCATGGGGCTGTAAGCATTTGTTCCACAGACACACAATCTGGCGCTATTTTCTATTGCTGAATGAAAATACTTACGTGAATAACCCAATCCATGGGGCTGTAAGCAATTGTTCCACAGACACACAATCTGGCGCTATTTTCTATTGCTGAATGAAAATACTTACGTGA